TTACTTTGGCAAAACTCATCATCATATTATTATTATTATTATTTGTTATTGCTATTATTATTTGTTGTTATTATTGATGTTATTATTGCTTATTAAAATTATTTTATTACTTATTATTACGATTGTTAATTTTATCTCTAATTTAGAAAAAAACCTTTCTGAAAGCTATTGTTTACAATTGCTATGGGTTATACATACATTTGTAACAGTGCAAATCTTTTATAATTGTATATATATATATATATATATATATATATATATATGATATGTTTTAATACACATTATTGTTATTATATACAATTATACATAATATTATGAATAATATCATTCCTTTATTCATTCATTCAGTCATTCATTTGTTCGTCATTAGTTCGCCATAATTCGTTCATTCAGTTCATCAAATTAAAAGAATTTTTCTCAAAACGGGAGATCCCATGCACTACCAGTCAGAAAAACTCATTATATACCATATGTATGTATGTATGTATGTATGTATGTATGTATGTATGTATGTATGTATGTATGTATGTATGTATGTATGTATGTATGTATGTATGTATGTATGTATGTATGTATGTATGGTATGTATGTATGTATGTATGTATGTATGTATGTATGTATGTATGTATGTATGTATGTATGTATGTATGTATGTATGTATGTATGTATGTATGTATGTATGTTTATGTGTGTGTATGTATGTATGCAAATGCATGTATGTATTTATGATTATATAATTATATAACGGATTAGATGTTGGCAAATAAGATTACACACACACAAATACACACACTCACACACACAAACACACACTACTACTACTACTAATAGTAATAATAATAATAATAATAACAATGATAATAAAAATTTGATTTATAGGCTGATGACGGACTTAAGAAAAACATAATAAAATACACGCTCGTCTCAATACATCTCCAATGTACCCGCCAGATTTCATCTCGCCATCATCATCTTCTTCATCTGTGTGTGTATGTGTTTGAATGTTTGTGTATTTGTATGTGTGTGTGTGCATTGGTTTTAAAACTAAATGAATAAAAATTAAATTATAGCACGTATTATGTAGCATTTTATTATTTTTTCATTCATATAGTTTTTCACAATTTGAACTTATACACACCATCACATTTGTAGACACACACACGCAGACATACATGCAGACACACGCACGCGCACGCACACATACAAACAAACAGCGTTTAGTATTTTTAACATTTAAAAAATCACGCATTCTCAAAAATATTAATTGCTGTTATAATCATTGTCTCATGTGACGAACAAATGTATATTTTTTTCCCTAAAGTTTTCCACAATCATTATCAATAACATCGCCATAAAAACAATCGTCATCGTCGTCATCATCATCCTCTTCATCATCATTGTCATCGTCATAATCTTTTTTGTCTTCCTTAAATGTGGCAAATTCTTAGAAATCCTACCCGAGTGATATACGTGTCATTGTGTTTGCTTGTGTGCGTGCGTGTCTTTGTGTATGTGTGTGTCTGCTGTATGTGTGTTCGCTTGTGCATGTGTGCGTAAGTTCATGTGTTTTGTTTGTGTGCCTATGTATGTTATAAGCAAGTGTGTGTGTGTGTGTGTGTGTGTATGTGTGTGTATTTGTGTGTGATTGTGAGCGTGTGAGTTTTTTCAGCTGTTTACCTTGCTAAATTCCTCATGTAATTAGTTTTATTTTATAAATTTAATAGACAGCTTTACTAGAAGGCAAAACTAAACAGCAATGAATATTATACGGAGAAAATTATAGGGAGAAACAAACAAGAAAGGATACT